TCGGGCCACTCTGCCCTAAAGCCCCGACTGGTGGAGGGCTGCAGTGATGGTTGACTTTCTACAACTTTCTCTCATCTCCTGACTGTATCTCTGGAGCTCAGCCACAGTCATTTTTGGGTTCTTCTGTACCTCTCTCACCGAGGCTCTTCTCCCCCGATAGCTCAGTTTGGCCTGACGGCCAGCTCTAGGAAGGGTTCTGGTTGTCCCAAACGTCTTCCATTAAAGGATTATGGAGGGCCCTGTGCTCTTAGGAACCTTAAGTGCAGCAGAATTTTTTTTTTGTAACCTTGGCCAGATCTGTGCCTTGCCACAATTCTGTCTCTGAGCTCTTCAGGCAGTTCCTTTGACCTCATGATTCTCATTTGCTCTGACATGCACTGTGAGCTGTAGGGTCTTATATAGACAGGTGTGTGGCTTTCCTAATCACATCCAATCAGTATAATCAAACACAGTTGGACTCAAATGAAGGTGTAGAACCATCTCAGGGATGATCAGAAGAAATGGACAGCACCTAAGTTAAATATATGAGTGTCACAGCAAAGGGTCTGAATACTTATGACCATGTGATATTTCAGGTTTTCTTTTTTAATAAATCTGCAAAAATGTCCAAAATTCTGTGTTTTTCTGTCAATATGGGGTGCTGTGTGTACATTAATGAGGAAAAAAATGAACTTAAATGATTTTAGCATATGGCTGCAATATAACAAAGAGGGAAAAATTTAAGGGGGTCTGAATACTTTCTGTACCCACTGTATACAGGAGGGTGTGGGGCCTTTTACATGTCTGTGCCCAGGGGCCCAATATGTCATAGTCCATCTATGGGTGAAAGGACAAGAAGATAGACAATAAGGGGGTAACAGTTTTATGTTTAAGACAGACTTAGAAATGAGTCACACTCTGGAAAAACACAGTAAGTGTTTTCATCCACCATTTTGAATTCACATTTTCAATTTGTGCAAAAACTAATAAATAAAAAGTAGAACTGTTTCACCAATATTCAGTTACTGGGATAGAAAGGTTGCTGTCAGTTTTCTGGATGTTTTTGTCAATTCTTTTTGGAAATGCAGGTGTGAGTCATTTTAAGTGAGATAATGGCCAAAAAGTAAACAATCTTTTGTTCACCCCCTTTTAAAAGTCGTTACAAAGTAGATTTGGGGGTTGTAATACATAGTTATATATTTATTATGTGCTAGGTAGTTTTAAAAAGCACTACAGTGTAACTTATTTCTAGGTCCCTCTTGAACACATATTTATAATACAGTATGTCCAAAATATAAAGCAAAGAGCTATGACAAGTTTAAACTCCACATCAGGGCTTTTGTTGGTGATTTGGCATCATTTGTCTGCATTTTATACAGCAAATATTGTAACAATGAAATGTGAAGACAAGCAACAGTTGGAAGGTAAACAAACATTTTATTTATTGTGCAATTCAGGTCTGTGATGACATTGACGAATGCAAAGGACCCAACAACGGCGGCTGCACTGCAAACTCAATCTGTCAAAACTCTGTGGTAAGATCACTTTAAAGTTATCTGGCCATCAGGGCAATTATTTAATTTGTGTGGCTTTCTAACTGTTGTCCAAAAAAAAACTTCATGAACAGCTGTCCTTATTCCTGCACAGGGCTCCTATCACTGTGGCCCTTGTAAGTCGGGTTTTACAGGAGATCAGGTGAAGGGCTGTAAGCCAACTGTCAGCTGTAGCAACAGCCTGACCAACCCCTGTGATATCAATGCCGAGTGCGTTTTAGAAAGAGATGGGTCAGTCTTATGCCAGGTGGGATTTCACACCACTCACATGCTCTTATATACTACCTGCACACAAACTATATACATAAGCACAGCTCCACTTACTTGCCGTTTGATTTTCTGAAGAGATTCATTTGTCTTGTTAGTGTGGAGTTGGCTGGGCTGGTAACGGGTACCTGTGTGGAAAAGATACCGATATTGATGGATACCCAGATGAGAAACTCAAATGCAAGGAGCCAAAGTGTAGAAAGGTAACCAAAGTCCATAGTCTGCAAATGCAACTTTTCTGTGGTAGGCCATCCCTTTTTTCATCCTTTTACTGTGACATCACTTCACAGGATAACTGTGTTTACATTCCTAACTCCGGTCAAGAGGATGCAGACAGAGATGGTATAGGAGATGTCTGTGATGAAGATGCAGATGGTGATGGTATTCCAAATGAGCAGGTTAGTGGAAATGTTTAAAAAAAAAAAAAAACCTTGCAAAGACACATGGGCTCCAACTAATTATTATTTTTTTGATTAACTGATTAATCGTTTAATCTATAAAAGGTCAGACAACAAAAGAAAATGCACAGCACAGCCCTAGGAAATGTCTTCAAATCGCTTGTATTGTCTGATAACCAGCACCCAAAGACATTCAATGTACAGTCATACTGTGAAAGATAATAAGAAAAGCAGCAGATCATTACTGGAACACGGGAGCATTAGGCAACTTAGCCTGACTTAAAGGAACAGTTCAAATTCTTATGCTAAGCTAAGCTAAGTGGTTGCTGCTTGTTGCATACAAATGTCAGAATGGTGTCAATCTCCCTATCTAATTCTCAGCAGAATTTTGAAAGATGACTTAAAACAACTAATCAATCATCAAAACTGTTTTTGGTTGATCAACTAATGGATTAACCAACTAACTGTTTCAGCTCTGAGGCACATATACAATCAAAATTGTTTTTTTCCCAACAGGACACTATTTGCATCAATAACCAAAGCACACTGACATAGACACACATGCTGTGAGTGAGACCTTTGTGTGTCTCTGTCTCAGGACAACTGCTGGTTAAAGTCCAACGCGGACCAGAGGAACAGTGATAAGGACAGCCATGGCGATGCCTGTGACAACTGTCGCATGGTGGAGAACCCCGACCAGAGGGACACTGACGGCGACGGGAGAGGAGATGCTTGTGATGATGACATTGATGGAGATGGTATGGAGAGGAATTACATCACTAACACTGACATTCACAGTTTTATAATCACCATCACTGAAGACATTCGCTGTTATGATTTATGACTATGGTCCATGCTTGAACTGAGAACCACACTAATGCAGAGAGTAAGTTACACATCTCTCTAAATCACGCTGTAGAAATGTATCACTGTGTAGTAGCGTGGATACTTTTATAAGACAGTTGAGCCATGAGAAACAGCACCGGAAAAAAAAAAAAAAAGAGAAGCCAACAGCAGTCTGACCCCAGAGCGAACACCCACGTTGATCATTCACCAATCTGATTACACTTCAAAAACAGGCCATAAGATAGTTTTTCCTCTACGGCTGCTGCTTGACCTTTATGCATCTGTGCTGCTCTGTCTCCCTGTGATGAATAAAAAACAGGTTCTGCAGGCAAACTGGTGTTCACCTACATAGAAAATGCAACAGTGCAACCTAGTGGTCACATTACAAATTACATGCTGTAAAATTCTTCAACTGATCCCACAGTAGTATGGATATAATGTCTCAGTTTTTATGCATTGGTTCATCATATATAAATTCACTCACTGACTTATCAATATAAAATTCTCAATTACGTTAATAAAATGTATTTAGTGTGAAAGTCAGAATTTCCTGCCTATTTTACTGTAATACATCACCCTGATTTATTAGGAAGTTAAAACTTACAATTCCCACAACTGACAAGCTGAAACTGCAGAACTTTTGGTGGTAAAATTATACACAACAATAATCTTCCCTGCTGTAAAAGGAGATAGAAGTGGATTGACTGCTAAATGACAAGAACCATCTCCAATCTCAGGCTTGAAGAATGTACTGGACAACTGCCCACAAATCCAGAACAGAGATCAGAAGGACCGGGATGGAGATGGTGTGGGAGACGCTTGTGACAGCTGCCCCAACATCCCCAACCCCAACCAGGTCAGTCAGAGCCAGCCAACCAGATGTACAGGCAGCCAGCCTGCCAGCCAAACAGACAGACATACAGATAAATAGAGAGACAGACAGACAGATGTGGAAAGACGGTGTTTTAGTGAGCTCTCTGTTCTTCTTTCAGTCTGATGTTGATCACGACCTGGTTGGAGACCCCTGTGACACAAACCAAGACAGGTAATAATACTGTCACAGTCTCTAGGTTGCTAACAGGCAGAGCTGATTTTTTTCCACTACTACTAATTGCCTGCTACTATCTTTTATTTACGTCATGTGACTGTGCCACTTCCCCTGTAGCGATGGTGACGGTCACCAAGATACCAAGGACAATTGCCCATTCGTAATCAATAGCTCCCAGCTGGACACTGACAAAGATGGACTGGGTGACGAGTGTGACGATGACGACGACAATGATGGGATCCCGGACGTTAAACCACCCGGACCGGACAACTGCCGGCTGGCACCAAACCCTGACCAGACTGATGACAACAGTGAGTCCTAAATACGTAGCGTGCTCATACAGCTGAACTGAAAACATTTTACAGTAATGTTCAGATATTATTGTTGACAACTTTGGTTGAAAACCAGCCTGGTGCTCAGAGATAAATGTTCATAATTTCATCTCAGTGGCCATATTCTCTCTAAACTGCAGTTACACGCAGTTGTGAGTCCCGGTTTCACACCCACACAGATGAAGGAAAGCAAACCGGATTAAGTGGCAATTGTGTTGGGTAAAGCACAATTTTTTGTGCCTGCAACCCATCTGGCAATTTTGTGACTCATTGTGACATAACTTGTGTGAAAATGGGCTGTGAATTCAGTGGGAGGGGTGTGTCATTTAAAACTGAATGGCAGGGCAGGAAGTTCAAGATGCCCATATAGTTGGTATACAATGAATGTTGCAGTCTTAAAGGTCTGAATGTCCTCAGTACAGAGAAAAAGCTCACTGATGTACTTCCTTCCATTTAATAATCCACACCACCAGCCAGATTCAAAACATTTCAAACACAGCAGAATGACATAACACCATGTTGTGTTAGAGACTACTTTTTTTTTTTAACAATAAAAACTGCCACATGGCTATTGTAATTATGAAAACACACTCGCAGTGGGGTGCAGACTAGAATAAACCTTAGTACAAGTCCATTAAAATCAAAGAAACAGCCTTGTTCTGTTTGCTGAAATGTGAATATTGCTTTAAGGAAAGACATCATCTGGCCTTCAGCAAGATATTTGGTATGTTTTATATTCAGGCCTTGCAGCTCTGCAGCTTCTGAACAAGGAAGGACAAGTTCAATCTAAAATCTCACTGTGACAGGATGGAAAACACACTGATAGGAACTGATCACTCACACTTACTATCCCCTCTGCTGTCCCTTAGATGATGGGATTGGAGATATATGCGAGAATGACTTTGACCAGGACAATGGTGCTAGACCCAGAGGGTGATGCTCAGATTGACCCCAACTGGATTGTCTTAAACCAGGTGAGATTACCGAGTGCTGAAGCTTTCTTCTTTATGTACAGTCACTATGTTAAAGCAGCTACAATTAATATCTTCTTTTAATGATTTATCAAATGGTGTCTATAGTAAGAGATGTTGCTCATAGTGATGCACATACAGAGAATTATCAGCTGCTCTTCTTGGCCTTGTGGAGCTTTATTGAAAGTTTTCACTCTTAACTTTTTTAGTTCACTTTCACTTTGTTTTCAGTAAAAAAAAAAAAAAAACAGCTTTAAAAACCCACTACACGCTGCCTGCTCAGCACCAACCGGCGAACAGACATGTTACTGACTAGCTGGTGAACACAGTGAGTGTTTAGCAGTTCAAGAGACAGATATTTTCCTGGTAGAAAACAAACAGAGCTGAACAAGCGACAGAGTGAATGCTGGTCTTAAATTTGCTACCACAGGTGGCCAGAAGCATGAGATACAATAAATAAGAGTTTAGCAAGTGCAAAATTAATCAATAACAACTCTCTGTCCCTCTCACATAGGGAATGGAAATTGTTCAGACCATGAATAGTGACCCAGGACTTGCTGTTGGTAAGTTTTATTTCTTCTCTAAGTATCGAGATACAAAATGTTCTTTAAAAAAAAAACCCAACTAATTACACGTTCTGTTTCAGGTTACACTGCTTTCAGTGGAGTAGACTTTGAGGGGACATTTCACGTGAATACAGTGACTGATGATGACTATGCTGGCTTCATCTTTGGCTATCAAGACTCATCTTCCTTCTACGTGGTGATGTGGAAGCAGACTGAACAGACCTACTGGCAGGCGACGCCCTTCAGAGCTGTGGCTGAGCCTGGCATCCAGCTTAAGGTAAAAGTAGAAGTCATGCCAACAGCCAATTCACACTCATCCTCTTTTTATCCCTTGACATAATTTCCTCATTTCTGTCTTTCTCTTGTCCCCCCCCTCACTACTCTGTGTCTTTTGTCAGGCTGTGAAGTCTAGAACAGGCCCTGGAGAGCACTTGAGGAACTCGCTGTGGCACACAGGAGACACCGACGACCAGGTCCGTCTGCTGTGGAAGGACCCAAGAAACGTAGGCTGGAAGGACAAGGTGTCCTACCGCTGGTACCTGCAGCACCGCCCACAGCTTGGATATATCAGGTATAACAAAACATGTTTTAGATATTTGTCTGGCAGCACCACTAATGCTCAGATTATCTTACTACTGTAGATGAAGTTTAATCTGCCCACAATGCTGAGAGTAGAACACACGTAACATCCCCCCTGGTGTTTCGTTTAGGGCACGGTTTTATGAAGGAACTGAGTTGGTTGCAGACTCTGGTGTGACTATTGACACGACTATGAGAGGAGGACGTCTCGGTGTGTTCTGTTTCTCTCAAGAAAACATCATCTGGTCAGATCTGAGATACCGCTGCAATGGTAAGGAAGCACGTCATCAAATCCGCCCATTATATATGATTCTGTGGTTCTTACTGTGTTAATGTGTGGGTTCTTAAAGTCAAGGCAGTTTGTCTTAGCAGCATCTTTGGGGATAGCAGGGTTGGTCGGTCCACCACTTTGTTTCAGAATATTATTTCAACAAGATGGAGTGCCCTTCTTCTCAGAATGTATTGCTTTTCACATAGCAACAGCATCCTGCCAGACTTTACAACCAAATACCTTCAAAACTAATAACATCAGTCACAGCTGTACATAGAGTTTAGTACTAATTAGCATACGTTAGCATGTTAAAACATGGTAAACTAAAATGATAATCATACTAAACTTTATAAACATCAGTATATTAGCCTTGCTGTTCTAGCTTTTAGCTCAAAGCACCACAAGTGCAGTTTCACACTTTATGGCTGTACTGTAGATTCAGCAGGCTTGTCAATACATAGGCTAATACATCTTCCTTAATGACCTCTGGGACTTGTGTCTGGAAATGACATTATTATTATTATTATTATTTGTTGTGGCATAAATAAGACTACAGAGGTGAGTAGATTTAGTTTGGCCTCAGAATCTGAGCTTGTCTCACGATGCCTAATTTCCTTCCTCCACAGACACCATCCCTGATGATTTCCAGGAGTTTAGCACTCAGCACGGCACTGACTTCCTCTAAAGTCAAGGCAAAAATATGGCAGCAGATCTCCAAAGAATTCTGTGTGTGTGTGTGTGTGTGTGTGTGAGAGAGAGAATGTGGGTGTCTGTCTGTAGCTGTGTATTGAAGCCCACAGGTTCTGTGCTTATGTGATCACCGTTGTTGTACTATTTGTGCATATTATCATGTCTGATTGCTTTTTTCCAGTTGTGTTTAACCATTTTTACAAACTGCAGCTGAGATTGTTATGCTAAATAAGTTATAATGAATTTTACTAAACATGATGCAGCGTAACATGACACAAGAACAAAAGAAACAAGGAAATGTGACATAAGAAAACAAAACAACACATAACATGTTTGTATTCATGGACGTTTGCCTTACAGTGAACACTACATAAAGTTTTAGCACAAGAGGCCCCCAGTTTTCCACATATTTGCTTTTTTCTTTTTTAGATGTTTTTTGCATAATAAATTTGACATGTTCAAAATAAAGGGAAAATCCTTATAAAAAAACAATATTTTACTTGTACAACAAACTTGTATTACAAAGAATACTTTATGTCTAGTATTATCAAAACAAGATCAGCAAAATCAGCTTTAGATCAGCCTCAGTAGGGGTTGTATTGTGTCAGCCATGTATAATGTTTACCTATCAGCATGATATTTTGCCTCCTTTTGAAGAGACAATTAACAGACCAGGTTTTGTATGACTCATTTCATATTCTGCCTTGTCTCACCTACCACTAAAAGCTCAGTGTAACATTTTCTCCTTCCATCATTTGGTCCATAACATCTTTGATTTCTATGTAGTCATGAACCGGGTCAAAATAAAGGGCTTTAAAATATATTGAACTATATGAAAATGTTGGCTGATTGAAATGGTGATATTATCTGAGTTCATTTACCAAAGGACACACAGACATGCATGTCCCCCAACAAACCACTCAAATGCATAAAAATGACCAGTCACAACAATCCCATACTTCCTTGTGTACTTGGCACATTCTCCTACGTGCTCAGAATGTGAAACTGGTGAAACTGTGGCAACAAAGTCTGGAGTTTTGCTTGAGCCAGAAATACTTCCTTAATAATGCATTCTTGTTCCTGATTAGCTGCTGAGGTGAAGTGAGAGACTTTGTTTTTTGCTCCAGGCAATGGCCCTCTTGAAGACAGAAGAGGATGAAGGTTTTTTTTTTAGACTTGAGGCTGCATAAAAACATGCAGTTTTCTTCATATATTTTAATGTATGCTTTCATTAACAGATCTGTAGTTTTTCTTCAACCCAAAAAGGTAGAAAAAATACCTTTAGTTTCAATAATATAAGAAGTAACCTCTAAATAAATAGACATGCAGTCTGACTTCATTTTGGTAAATGTGCTTGTACTAACTAGAAATTAAAAAATGTAATGGATAAATTCAATTATATTTCCCCACTCAGTATTACATGACTATATGCTGAGAATATTTGCAAATTAATAGATCAGAGGGAACAGAAATCAATAAATCAGTCACAGCAGAGTTTTCAACTAGTCAGTGTAGATTTTAATATATTTTTAATTTCTTCATAAACTTAAATTCCTCCAAATATTTCCTGGTCTTCACTATGTTTTCAGTCTGGAGGTAGAACCCTTTTAAGAAAGAATTTTTTCAGAGGATCACTGTTGAACCCAGTTTGGCTGTACTTTGCAAAACTCAGTCTGCATAAACACATACAATTAGATAAGGTGCTGCCACCACTCAACAAGTTATTTTCATCCTAACATGAATGAATAAGCATGAACCTGCACCTGGCTTTCACAATGTAATGTGCATGACCACATTTTATAAACACAGCATCGATCTGCAGGGTTTCAGGGAAAAAGCAACTCCCAAAAAAAGAACAAAGGACATAACTCAAAAACAACACAATGATCAAGAAATCGAGATCTGTAAAACCACAACAATATGGTTTGAAGATAACATTATCATAGCCTGAACTAGATCTAAGTTTATAAAAGAAGTTATTATTTCATATCTGATTACTTAGCCTTATCTGAAAAGTTACTGCAGAGTTGTGTTCAGCAGTTTCCACATTTGTCAACTCTTAGGAAGTACTGTAGTGTAGAAGAAACGAGGCTACCAGCAGAGCTGAATGATCAAGAGGTTCCCTGCTCTCTGAACTACATAAACACACCCAGGATTTCATGCAGAGAACTGAGAACACAGATGGTGACAGTAACAGTGGGAAACTCTTCTAGAAATCTACTTTGATTACTTCTTCAAAAAAACAAATATAAAAGTAAAAAGATAAGAAAACTGTGTGGCAAGCTGGCAGTGAGGCTGACACTTAGAAGTTCATGCCTGTCTGTTAGAACTGTTTCCACCTCATTTCTACACAGATTTTGTTTGCGTGCAGGGAGGCATCACATTGTCTAATTTGTAAGTAGCAGGGGAAGGGTGGATGACAACATCAGGGTTGAAATCATAGCTGTCACAGAAACACATTCACTGAACAATCAAAGGTGTGAATAATATCACAACAGTGGTAGAATGAGACTAAGGAGTCTACAGCCAGGCCAGCAGCTCTGTGAGGCTGTACACAGAGGAGCCACTCATTCCACTGAGGCTAAGCTACAGTATATTAGCCTGTCTCCATGTGTCTCTAACCTATCTCACACAAGGGGTGGCCAGGTGATATCTGTCAACAACCCGATCAGTGGGCTCTTAATCACAGCCAGCCTCTTCCTGCAGAAGCCTTGCTGGGCTGTGAATGGTCTGCTAGGTACCCTTTTCTCAACTGTATCTGCAATCTTGCTGAGACAAAACAGGTCAGAAAGTGTCTCCTTGTCCTTCATTGATGTGACATTTAAAAAAGATAAATAAATAAAAACATGTTGGTCCTACAGTGAAGCCATTATCCCTGTTCCCCGCACTTATATTCCCTGTGGCTGCATTTTCTTTAGCTTTCACACTGTGATATTATCACAGTTTGCTCCTCATTTACTGTGTTTTGCATTCACATCAGCTACATGTGTCACAGTCACCTCAGGGAGGCTATGTCAGCGGGTTTATATGGCTACAATGGAACTTTGGTTGGCATACTGATGTCGGCTTTTACGGCCGAGTATGTTCATGTCCGTGTTGTGGTGAGTGTTTTTTAAAAAGTAATCTAATTCACTTGATTGCACACATACAATAAGCAGGAAAGACAAACAAAGACAACAGCATTGTGTGAGAGTCAGGAATCACAATTAGGCAATATCTCAGTCAACAAGTTGCACTGCAGTTCATGCAAGTAAACTTCCAGTAAACAGCATGGGGCAGGTTTTCTCTTCTGCCCAATCAAGAACCCATTTCCTTCTGTTCCCAGCTTTGTCTTCAGTTGCCAATAAATGGGACCTCCAAATATTCACCCTTCCCTTTAATATTTTGGTGTGTCTACACATTGCAGCTACAGGAGCCAATCACCCCTACTTTCCAGAGGTATAGTGCAGCCCTGCACACACGCTGTCATAGGCTCCTGGGCTTGGTCTGTCCACCGACCATTCTCCACCATCACCACAAGCAGCTGACTTACCACTTCACAGAAACTGCTACTACAAAGTGAATGTTTTGCACATGAATTCACCTCATTTTTACTTCATCACATCTTTCAAATAACACTAATATATTTCTCCAACAGCCCGGCACAGCAGCAAACACCATCGGAACAACAGACCACACCAGAGCTACTGTAAACTGTATATACACTATTTACAGCCCAGCCGTACACCTAATTAATCACACTTAACCCATTGCCATAGATATATACACATATGGCTTCAGAAAAAGTCCATTCATTCAACAATGTGTACACATATGGTGCTTAAAATGAAAGTTAATACAACTTGTTCTACAATTTCAGGTGGATATCCAGCCAAATAACCATCTGCACCCTCTGAATGACTCAGTGCCTCTTGGGTAAAATGATATTGGTCCACTTGTACTTTGAAAATGGTTATTTGCACATACGTGATCTTAATTAATAAAATGTGCTATGACTGTTTAAAATGTAAGTAAATGGATGCGCTCCATTTGCAGCTATTCTTGTCAGTGCCAGTCGGTGTTGGCCAGGTGTATGGCTGCGACAGTCCTTGGACAGGAGGTCTCATCCTTCTGGCCCTGCTGCTCTCCTCACCAACTATCTGTTTTCAAACCATGCTGGGCTCAGCTTCTGGCATGTTGTCTGGTAAAAATACACATTTGCAGAGAAATATGCATAATGTCGGCTGAGGCTACAGCAGGAGCTTTGCCTCTTCAAAGGGCAACATGGCATTATGATGAATGAACCATAGCATGTCTTCTCACAGCCTGTGCGTCTTGACTCGGTTTGTAAATATGTGCATTTGTTTGCTATTTAATAATACATTTCACAGTGCAAATTGTGCTGTCCTATGACATGTGGTGCAGGACTTGCTCTGGGAGCTCCTCATAGGGACATCAACTCAGGGCCTTGGGGATATAGCAGTGCTCTAGACTGCATTGCTGTTGGAGGTGTCTTCTATGTCATATCATGGCAAACCCATCTGCTGGTTCCAATATGTGGTAAGATCAACAAACACTATGATCACTATGTTCTGCATGCTACACAGAAAATGTTTTAAATTAAAACATGACATTATGTTTCTTTCCAGCTCTTTTCTGTGCATACATGACTTCAGCAATCGCAAACTTGATGTCTATGGTAAGTTAGAATACTTCCCTCCCCAGTCAAACTCTATAAATGTCATCTGAACACCCAGATGTTTGTGACATAACGCGTCATGCTCTGCTCTCCTATGACATCCCCTTTCAGCTTGCATTACCAGCGTGCTCATGGCCTTTCTGCCTGTCAACTCTCATCTTCCTCTTCATTTCCTCTGAGATCCAAGCCATCTGCAGACAGCTTCTGTCTGTGGCATCCTACCCCAAGGAAAATCGGCACTACCAGAAACACATAAACTTCCCAGAGAAAGCTCAGCACAGGCAGCAGAGCAGCAGCCAAGAAGGGGCCCCGCTGATGGAGAATGGAGGGCCAAATGTCCAGCTGGAAGAGAGGAGCTGCAGTGAACCTGTATGAGGAGATGCTCCTTTTATCCTATCAGAATGCAACTGTAAAGGTGTGGTGATATATAGTGTTTCCTCTCTTCCATAACCATATTTTTATATAAAATAGCCTCCACTGTAATGCCTACTTCACACAGCAGAGGGCAGCATTTTCCAAGGAAAGATAGAATCAGTGTGCAGGTAAATCTAACTGAGGGAAGGTGCAGAGCAGAATTCAATGAAAGAGCACAATTTTCTAGCTTTCTTAGCAATAATATGTATCTTATCGAAATTGTATCTTTGTAAGTGAAGCCAGTGTTGTGCTGTTATTTATTTAAGGTAGCTACAAAGCAAAAATTAAGGGCTAAAAGATAAAACCATCTTTCTTCCCTCAACAGCACGATTTTTTTAGTTGCTTAGAGATGATTTAAAATGCAGCAGAGCTTGTTATCAGTGCAGACAGTGAGCTGTAGGGGTGATTTCATAAATCGCTCCACCAGCAAAAATACCCTGTTCTCAGCCAGAGATTATCCATCACTGCCCTCTGGACTCCAGTCTGTCCTACTGTTTTCTCTTATTGGTTCTTTTTACCTCTCTTTTGCTTTCTTGCTTTGCTTCTCCCACAGTTTTACATGTTTTTTTAAACCCTTCTGACTTATCTGCTACTTTTTCCCGTCACCTTTCCTCCCACTCTCCCTTGTGATGTTATCAGTCTCCTTTATCTTTTGATGACAATCTTTCTCCTTTTCCCTCAAGTAAGTAGATTTTATTCTTAGTGAAAAGAAGCTATCAGTTGATCAGCTGTCTGGGTCTGCATTTATATTCATGAGTTTATCTTTATGTGTCTTCACTGCCAACTGCATGTCCATGCATCTGGTGCAACCGGGACGCATGGCTTCAGTTTATCCAGTAAGACACATAAAAACCAGACATGCGTGGGAGCTGCGGTACATCGGGGGAGAAGGTGTGAGACGAGGGTAGGGGGAGAAGTGGAAAATGACATTTTCTTATCTGGTGATAAAATATGACTTGTTATGACTAATTTTTTTTAAATGCCCAATGTGTGTTTGTCCTCACTGCTGTTCATTTGAATATAATAGCTACTCAGATCAGTTTCCCATGTGCTATTCTAAAGCATTACAGAAGAAAACTTTCCTCAACGCTGCCAGTAATATTTCCTCCAATTTACTGGTGCCTGTAGGTGATAATGACCTCAGCCTATTTTCTGTGGCTTTTTACACAATGTTGATTGTGTAAAACCTCTGAAGGTCAGGACAAATGCTGGCAATGGGACTGTGTGAGACGAGGTTGGTGGCACGCCCCCTCTGCTAGTGCTGTGTGCTCACAGTGTGTGATTCACCTTCTCAAGTCCCCTGCAGGCAGTACCTACTGGTCCCACAAAACATAATGGGAGAGTGAGACTGGGCCGAATGTGTGAAGGATGAAACCTTACCACACACCTACATGCATGCAGACACATTCTGCTATTAAAACCCTGCATAAAGGTGTCACAGCATTAATCTGTGTTCTACTGGCCAAACACACATGACTACAGTATAGTTTGTTGCTTACTGTTCTAGGTGCATCATTAGGTTGTCAGTGATACACTGCAGTTTCTCCCTCGTCATATCATCAGCATCGTAACCCCTAAGCCAAAGGAGTAGTGTGTAGCCTAAGCTATGTTAGCCTGTAGCCCTGTGTCTCCACTACTCCGTACAGTGGGTATTCAGCTGGATGATTTCAGCAAAACCCATTAAATCCATCTACATCCAGGCCAACAAAATATATGAATAAATAATGGACTTAGTATTGCTTCACTAGAAGAGCGTTGAGCCTTGAAACTGTGCAGAAAAAGATCAAATCTAAAGATTATCTAGGTATTCTAGAGAGAAACATACTGCCCAGCGTCTCAGTCACAGGTCAATAGGATAATGACGCAGAACACAGATAGAAAAGCACCCAACAATGGATGAGAAGAAAACATTGAACTGTTTTGATGTGGCATGCTATAAACCCTGATCTTAATCCAACTGAACATCAGTGGAAAGAGCTGAACCTCAGAAGGAGCCTGTCAAGCCTGAGAGAACTGGAGCAGTTTGTTAAAGATGGGGCCAAGCTACCAGTTCAGAACATTCAAGTGTCATAAAAAGCACCTGACCGCAGCCTCAGAAGAGCGCACTATAAAATATTAGGATAAGGCCTGTGCCATTTTCATTTGTTGTATTACTTAAAATATGTTAGATTAAAAATCTAAATTAACAGGTCTGTTCGAAATGATGATGTATTTCAAAGAAAACTGATTTTTCTTTTCTACGTGAAAGTGGAGAATTTTAGTATTTAAAAAAAAAAAAGTATTTTAGTGGCATGTTTCATTTTTTAAGACACAAAATGAAGCATATTTGATTACACAAAGAGAATAACAAAGAGAATACACATGTAAATTTGTACCCTTTAGTTAAAAACTAGGGCAGAGACAAAAGTACACATAATAGCTACTAAATATGTGAGAACAGCAAAGAACACCATGAGAACACTGGGCTGTATGTAAGCTGTCCGCCTTCTGGCTGCCTAACAATAACAGTGTCAGTGCAGCTTGGTACTTAATTAGCATTATTTTCTCGAAGACTGACAGGCTACTGTGTATGTGTTTCTATGAGAGAGAGAGAGAGAGAGTGTGATTGTGTGAAAAACAGGCCAGAGACACAGTCAGACTGTTCCCGTAGGCAGGAAGAATGAACACTGTGAAAGAGGCTGGTCTGATTCACTCTATCCTGCTCAGTCTGTGAATAGCATGTAAGAAGTGCTATCTGGTCATATCAGTCCTGGCTCACCATGTTCCGACCAAATTTGTCTGCCGTTTCCTGTAAGACGAAAGGAGAATCCCCAGGAAACTCCAGCCCTCATTGGATGTATGAAGCATCACAGCATAGGAAGCGCTGCCATGTATGTACGCTCCCTGTGACACTGATTTCCATATCCATGGCTGCACAGTCAGCTCGGTGTCGTAATCTTCTAGTATGTGTAGTATGATCTCTAAATAGACACCGTGACTCCTTTTCAATGAGAGTAAAAATGACAAACAGATGACTTCATGCCTTTCATCAAAAGAGTGGCCTCACATAATCCACAAGATCATGTGGGTCTGTAACATACTTATCTTCTCTATGACTAGTAATACAAATGTATACCTTGGGTCTAAAACAAAAAGCTGTGTATGTTTTCTACACTACACTGCAGCTAATGGACCTATAGTTTTGAGGGACAATAAACAGGGACCTTTATAGTTAGAAACTGAATGTTATCTATTTGAAGAGTGCTTCTAAACTATGATATAATACATGTCCAACACAATGCAATTGTTCTACTAATGGATGTAAAAAAAAAAACTGCTAAAAAAACTGTTTCTTTGTTAGTTATTGGTTCAGCTATTGCTTTGCCAATAGAGGAACTGCTAATTCTACCTCTAATGTGCAATTTTGGACAATATAAAATAACTCACCCCCATTATCATATTAAACTTGAAAATGGGGGTGAGTTATCTGGGTAACACTAACCGTGGGTCTTGCTTCCTAAAGGTCAAATATAAAAGATTCAAGCCCACTCTCCTGCCCCAAAATGTTCAAACTCTAAATATCTTCATGATTATTTCTGGCAAGGCAGTCAGTCAGTCAGTCAACACCTCAGCTTTGGAGGTGTTATGTTGAATTTTCACATGAGGAAGATGTGACACTTATGGTACCAAAGAACACAAGGTTTTTTTAACACATTCAGTTACATAACTTGAAGCTGATCTTTGCTTCCACAGCTGTCGGCTGTTAAGTGTCTCATTTGCACCGGTTTGCATTGTGTTGCACTTTACACAGTTGCTAGACAGAACTACGTGGGTGGATACGTTTACATGAACACTTGTATGAGTTAATGGATACAACGGTCATTCAGTGAATGTAGCTTCTGTAAAGCTTATTGACTTTTTCCCATTCGGGTTATTTCCAGCTACAGGAATCAAACTAGACACATTGTAGACCAATGTTTTTTTTTTAAGGCTCTGATTGTAGTGCTTTTGTTTTGGATCATGGTAAATTATAATAAACTTTAAGACATTTTCTTTTCTTCAGCCCTTTTCTTCTACCACACTACTTTTAAAAGTGAGATATTGCACATTTGACTCTACTACATTTATAGACATACTGGTTACTTTTCAGATTAAGATGTGACTTAAAAACATATAATAAGCTTTTAAAATAAAAGCCATCTTTAAAGATAAAAGCAGTGTTTCCAAAACATTTTGGCTTTTGGCCCCTTACAGAAATGCACATTTTATATAAGATTTATTAGCAGGGGAAGTGTTGTGTTTCCTTTAAACTTCACAGATGGTTTCATCATTATCCAGACTAAGATCAGAGGAAGGTTTTTAAAAATTGTAGCAGAACTTGTCATTTGCTCTTCTCCCATCAATCATCTCACACCACCTTAAATGAATCTAGTGACTCTGGAAGGAGCTTAGTCACTAGGCTGGGAGCCACAGGACTAAAGTACCTAACTATACATATATACTGCACATGAATTCAAACTAGCTCCACCCTGAACTGCTCCTAAAGTAAAATGCTGCATCTGATGCACCAGTACTAACAATCTAATAATGTCCTGTGTAACAATATATCAGTCATCAGTAGACTTCCATTTGATACTTTCAGTCCATTTTGCTGAAAATAGCTCTATGCTTTTATATAAGTAGGCTTTTGAACAGGGGGTTTTTATTAGTAACGAGTATTTATACTTTAATGTATTGGTGCTGAGTACTTCTTCCACCACTTCGGGTGCTACACTTCACTGACATGCATTAGACTGTATAGGCGTTCATTTTTATTGTGGCAACCCTATGTAAACACACTGATCATACAGGGTAATCTGAATGTTAATGTTGGCACACAGGTATCACCACAGAATTACAGGCTATTTATAGAATAGCAATTCTAAGAAACGGCAAAAGTTGCTGCACAAAACTGCAAAATATACATAAAATGTCAGTTGAGGGCAGGGGCTCCATCAGTGCCCAGCTGACTGTCTGGAGCCTGTCTGGGCAGGAGCAGTTTTTTTCTGCATGTCTGGATGTTCTGGTCTGTTCTTTCTGTGTGAAGAGGACTCTCTGTACCGTGTCGTGACTGTCTGCTCGGCTCTGCCTTCAAGAACACCGGAAACAAGTCTCGACATGGAGAAGGAGGCTGCAACATCCGCGTGATCATCGCCCGAGCGCCAATGGCTTCTCACCAGGCAAACTGAGGACACCGGCATCCCCTACCGTGCGTGTTGAAATGGGCGGGTCCGGGGAAGCTCGGTCACGCTGCGTGGGTGGGTGAGCGTATAGTAAAGGAGCTGCCGCGGCGGTATTTATAAGAGAGCGAGGAGAGCTCAGACAGCACGAAGAGTAGCCGGAGCTATTTCAGCACCAGCGCGACTGGACAGCGACACTTAGCCGCACAAATCCTACTTTGTAAATCCAGCTTTGTAACAGCCATCATGGTTCTCATCTGGACCCAGTTCGGTGTGAAGCACAAAAATGTCAAGTGCAAAGTGCGAGTTATGCACAGGGGTGACAGCTCGGGCTCATCATCAGCGGTAAGTACATTTCTGAAAGTTCTTTTCAAGCTTTTCTCCCTCTGTTAAATGGTCACTTACATGAATGACAGTGTGCTGTTAGAATAGGCTACTTCCGTTTCATAAAAGGAACAGGACTAGAAGTATAGTCGCTGATGTACCGGCATCTATTATCCCCGTCTTATTGGTGTGGGTTCATTCAAATGAAAGAGCCGCTGACTCCCGTTCAGCCAATCGCTGCAGAGAATCTTGGTTGTTGGGGAAAGTCTGTTGCCCCTCACACGACTTCCCCCTTCTCTCACGTTATGCTGTGTATCAGCCTATAAAATTCATGGATATAGCTGCACAACAGCACACAGATAAGGGTGTTTTCCCAGAGAGTGTCTTTGCTTGGAACCTCTTTCTGCATATTGATAGATATAATACAGCAGTTGAATGGAGGATGTCCAGTACATTGGTCATGGTAACCTGCAGTCTGAGGGCTGAATGCTTATTTTAGAGTTATTGAGCCTTATGCAGCATCTAACACTTGAAATTACTGTGTGCACCATTTCCAATAAGAGATTCTCAAATTTAATACATGACTGTGTCTTGTTCATACAGGAAAGCACCAGGTCTGAGCAGGACATGCCCAGCCTGTCCATCAAACCCGCAGGCAAAGATTTCTACAAAGTCCTGGGTGTCTCCCCCGAGTCCAATGAAGACGAGATTAAGAAGGCCTACAGAAAAATGGCTCTCAAGTTCCATCCAGACAAGAACAGCGATGCTGATGCAGAGGATAGGTTCAAAGAGATCGCAGAAGCCTATGAAATCCTGGCTGACCCAAAAAAGAAAAGCATATATGACCAGTTTGGAGAAGAAGGTGAGGATCAGGAAGAACTGACACTGTTGTGATTTCATTTAGAGAGTTAAACAGCTTAAAGAGTGACTGCCATCTGGTTAATTAATAGCACAGGCAGCAGCATTAACTATTCATGTCAAGATCAAGGCTAAATACTGATGTTCTTTGGGAAGATCATGACTAAAACTCTCACATCCCTATTTAAACCAGCTAAATGTGCAGCACAGACAGCTGTGGGGCTCATAAATTATTCAGGGGACAATGAAAGAGTTTTTATTAAAATTCCTAAATAGCAGCATCAACAGTGTAAGAATGAAGAACTCTAACCTAACTCTTTGTGATTTCTCTCTATTTAGGTCTTAAAAATGGAATGTCAGTGGCGGGTCAAAGCAACATTTTCCGCAGTAATTTCCACAGCGACCCCCACGCCACCTTCTCCTCCTCCTTCCAGGGATCCGACCACTTTGACATCTTCTTTGGCAGTGACACTGATGGCGAAGATGACCTCTTTAACCCCTTTAGACGATTCACCTTCAGTCACGTGGGCGGGTCCGCCGGCAACGAGAGCGGACTGCGAAAAGGCCAGCGGCGCCTGCAGGGTGAAGCGGTGGTGCATGACCTGCCAGTGACCCTAGATGAGGTGATGCATGGTTGCACAAAGCACGTGAAGATCACCCGCAGCCGCCTTAATCCCGATGGCCGCAGTGTGCGAGCCGAAGAAAAGGTCCTAAATGTGGTGGTAAAGAAAGGCTGGAAAGCAGGGACCAAGATCACCTTCCCCAGGGAGGGAGATGAGACGCCCAACAACATCCCTGCAGACATCACCTTCATTCTCACGGACATGGAGCACGCTCAGTACAAGAGAGATGGTCCCAACATCATCTATACAGCCAAGATCACCCTCAAAGAGGTGGGTGTGGTGAAATTACAATTTATCAGGGTTAAAGGTCTATCAGGGCTAACTAAGGGTTTGGCTCCCACAGAGGTCATGAGTCCAAATAAATGATGTATTCTGAAGCATATGGCTGGTCTCTAAGTAGAGATACTATGTAATTTTTCCCAGCCTCTTACACCTACTTGGAAAAAGGCTAAAATCCATCCACTGCTTCTTGCCCTTTATATAAGTGTTGAATGATGCATTCTCTGAAATGCCAAATAAAATCTGTTACTGTAAGGCATCAATAAGACATAAGGCAGAAGATAGGATCTGCAGGGAGGGTAATGTCTGACTGTAGTCAGAGAACAGAACATAACGTTCTTTAATGAGCACCTGAGCCCCCCTAGTTTACAATGGGCTGGCAGACCCCCACTAACAGAAGCCTGCCAACGCCTCAGCTACCTCATCAGCCCCTGCAGAGCAAGAGAGAAAGCAGGAGCTAAATTTAGCCTCAGCACTGACTTCCCCCACGAATCACACTTCACTCTCCCTCTCAGCTACTATGTGTGCTGCAGAGAGGCAGCTTTTCTGGCTCACTCTGTCTCTGGCTCTCACTTCTACCAGCCCACACATAGATTAGCAGGGTAGCAGTCACAGAGACTGGCATTTCAGTGAGCTCCTCCATCTTCAGTCACTAAAGTACTTAACTCCCACACATAGTCAGAAAATAGAGCAGCAACACTGGCTTGTTGCATAATAGAAAAAAATCATTATGCTCTTAGAAAGACAGACGCTCCATATTTAGCTGTTATACAACTTGACACATTTAAAAGGTCTGGCATTTAACTGACTCTTTTGTTGGATGTATGCTTCAATCAAGTCATAACAGGGTCATTCAGAAAGCATTATGAAACACTGTAATTATAACAGGTCTACAGGACTAATGTTTTATTCCTTTTTTTGTGTCCAGGCTCTCTGTGGCTGCACAGTTAATGTCCCAACACTTGACAACCGGATGATGCCTCTGCCTTGCAGTGATGTTATTAAACCTGGTGCTGTCCGGCGGCTGAGGGGCGAAGGTCTGCCCATGCCCAAGAGCCCGTCCCAGCGAGGTGACTTGGTGGTGGAGTTTCAGGTTCTCTTCCCTGACAGGATTCCACCACAGTCCCGAGAAATCATCAAGCACAGCCTGGCGCAGTGCTAGAATGCTTTGTTTAAACGACATGACTGACACAGCTTCACCATGTGTGTATGTTGTAACCAATTCACAAACACAGCCTTGCCTAAGGTGCTAATATCACAACCAATCACAACCTCCTATTGTGTTTGGAACAGCAAGCAGCGCTGAAGTGAGTTGTAGTTCGGGACTTTGTGAGGTCAGGACTTGTTAGGCATGATGCACAACAACAACAACTATGATGCCAGATGAGTAGTGAGTTCAGAATGGGGTCTTTGGTATCTGAGGGCGTCCACTGACTCTATAGCCTTTCTCGTGGTTGAAAAGATCATCTGTACTGTTATACTTATAGCAGGATATCAGTGTGCTATTCAAGTCTGTATAGACTTCCTTAAAACTGAATGGTAGAAACATCTGAAGAAAGAAAAGAACGACTTTATTATAGTTATATGGTACTCATATGACTGATCTTTTGCATTGATTTATTACAATAGCAACACATACTACTTGTGTACAAAGATCTACTTTGTGTACAAAATGCTAAAACATTGTCTCTAAGAGAGACTCAGCTGTCAAATGTTCTATTGAATTATTTGAAATGTTTGTATATATTCTGCAAAGAGCCAGCTGTTGATGTATTATTGGCCAATATGTTTGGAAACACGAAAATAAAGCATGAAAATAAAGAAAAACTCAGAATTTAACTGCTTTTCACTGTTCTGTGATACACCTATATTTTATAAAACAGTGTTACTTGCATAAAAGTCCTCCATAAGCTATAAAGCACTGCAGTCCATAAAATTACAATTCAGAAGAACTCCCGATCATAACTGCATGCAGTGACGCAGTAGCCTGGTCGCATACTGCCATCTAGCGGTGACTGCCTGCTATGGCAACGCGAGACATGCTGAAAATAATGGGACACACCTGTTGATCTGTAATTTAGGTGACTGCCAGCTGAGGGTGTCTTGCATTCGTCTCAGATCAAGCATTGGCTTTGAAAACATTGGCAGTATTAGTCTACAATGATTAATGCGAGGGTGATAAACGACGACACTCACATCTGGAGACGATATACGCTTAAGAAGCGCGTTGGTAAGTCGTTGGTAGATAAAAACTATTTTCGAAACAGAAGCAGTCCATGCTGATTGACGCATCAAACCACCTGTGCATTCAACGACGACGACCAGCGATTCTCTAAAATACGTCCTTTATGTTTTCAGGGATGAAATGTCGCAAAAAAGTCAGAACGCACCATCAAATGTGACTGAAGGGTACACTGTCACAAATTTGACTTTAGTCGTCCTTTTGCTCATACCTTGTGTGGTTCTCTTGCTTCTGCTGAACTGCTTTTTCCTGGGTTATAAGCTGCTGGTTCTGTCAAAGACCAGGCGCAAGCAAGAGAACACAGAGGAGATGCTTTTGCAGGCCGGCTTGCAGAGAACAAGAAGAGCATCCGATGTGGCCTTTCCCCCACTGCAGGACGGGAGAGCTTATATGTCTCTTTCGGAGCCTGCCCTGCCGCATCCCGTCACTTCTTCCAGGGCTTCATCAAGGGAGAGGGCAGGGGTGGAACACAGGATCCAGCTACAGAGGCCAGATGGTGCAACTGGCTCAGGGTCCCTGAAGGCGTCCAGCACTATCCGGGCCACTTCTTCGCAGACTGGTTTCACGTCCAGACTGGGCCTGCCCTCAGGGTCACGGACATACAGCGTCAGTAAAGCGGGCTGGTGTAGAAGTGCACCAGTCTTGCCACAGTCCAGTGATTCAGAGACTGAAATCAGACTGAACCTTGTTCCACCAAACACTCCCACGGTGAGTGGTCACTGACTACATAGAATCCTGATGATGCTTTAGGTCAGTGATGCGGGTTCAGGTAGGTTCAAATTTGTATTACTTTAACGATCCAAACTATTACATAGTCGAATTAACCCGCTGGGGCCCCACCGATTACCAGCCTACTCCTATGATCACTGTGCACAGGAGTTTCATGTGTAGTGGTATTAATGTTTTTCAACAAAAACTAACTAAATGTTTGCTGACGACCTATTATTCCTGATAAAATGAAGTAAACTAAATGAAATGTTACATTAACCGGAAAGAGAATAGCGAGCACGGTATCTCAACTTAGTATGGCATGTATATGAAAAACTGTCCTTTGATATCCCATCAATGCCTTTGTCTACAGCGGGAGACGGAATATATCCGTCGGAGCAGTACTTATGAGATGCTGACAGATGTGGACCCAGTTGTTGCAGGGCATATGTTTGACAAAGTGGACCAGGAGTGTGAATACATGAACCCGTCTTCTGAGACGTCCTTCCTGAACACATCAGCAGTGGGCCCTGGACTGGACAGTGACTTTGGTGCAAGTGCAGGTACGATTCCCCTCCAGCTGCACTGTGCTCACTTTGTCTTTCAGTAATAGTTCCCTGCTCCATCACACTGGCCAAAACAAGTAAACCTGGGGTACAGTATGATTTTAAAAGGTTATCACCTCTGCCATACATATCTTTGTCTTGCTGGGTGAAATGCTTTAATTTTGAGCAAAAAGAGGTGACAAAAGAGCATTGGACATCACTGCTATTTGGTTTCATGCTCATATACACAGACAAATTATCTGGCAGGGACCCGTTTTTCTGGTTGAATGGGGAAGTCATATAATCTACTGTTAATACGTCTCTTTTTCTTGATTGCTATATTTAAACATCTGAATCATTCTGAAATATGATTTCCCTTCAGGCGTCTCCCTGCGGATCCTCTCGACAGACAGTGATGGTCTGTCCAACGGTGTGTTGGCTTCGGCTTTAGAGTGGGATTATTATGACCCCTATTATGTCAAACAGAATAATATACCTAAACATCAACACCACAGACCTGCAGTGCACACAAAACAGTACTGGGTGTGATTTGTTCCAGCTGTCAGTATTAATGTTTTAATGTTATTTTATTAAAATTGTATTATGGATTGGAAAAATGTAATTAAGGTTGGTCTCACAAAAAAATCACTATATTTTACACTAGTTTGATATTTTTGAAGAATGCACTATGCCACCAAATTTGTTTTGATTGTAAAATATTTTCAGCACTTACACGTAAATTACTGCGAAGTGTTGACTGTGCACTTAAATTACTGCGAAGTGTTGACTGTGCACTTAAATTACTGTGAAATGTTAAATGTTGACTGTGCACTGTGCACTTAAATTACTGTGAAATGTTGACTGTGCAGCTTCACTTAAATGTCACATTCATAACTAAAGGGCTGTTTATAAACACAAAGATTTAAATTCATTGCTTATTGTTTGAAATGCTTTGATTCACTATGACCAATAAAGATAATTTAGAATTTAAGTGCTGCTCAGTTATTAATCTTTTCCATAAAATTGTCATGAACATATCAGCAGCAACCTAATGTTAAAGCTGACATTCAAGTTAAATGTAATAATATATTTCACCCCTTACAATGACCATGAACACCAAAAACTAAATTCTCAAATTTGGGTTAAAATCAGTTATCAAACTATTACATACGAGTCTGCAGACATCTTTCCAAAACTTCTGGGTGTGATCACGGTACCAAATTAAATGGCTCAAAGTTTCCAAGTGGCCACCACAGAAAGAACAGTTAGTCTTCAAAACATTTGCTTTAAAAAATATTTTGTTTGATAGCATCTGTGGATAATCCTATATGCCACATCTTTCACTTTATTTACCACAAAGTACTTCTGAGGCAGACACCATACTTTAGTCCAGTTAATGCCATGTATAGAACTACTCCAGTGACTGGTAGCACTAGGGTGAGAAGCAATTTCCTTTTAAAATAAAGAGCGAATTTTCCTATTGTTCTTTGCTGAAAAACACATTTTTCCATTTGAGCACTCAGCTGGATCAATAGAAGGAATGGTATTTGGACGGGGACAACCTCTGAATAACATTAGTATGCTAGAGGGAATAGCACCAAGCAACAGATTATACAGACTCGTACAGGTCTCTAGTTTTAAGTACTCTGTTTTTATTCCTATTTATCTCATTTCAATGAACATTCCTTTGTCTGCATTGTTTACTGTCTGTCTATACTGTTTATTTTGCATTGTTTTGTTGCTTGTTAATACTGCTTATTTTGTTATATTACACAGCCTTACGCTGGTTTACTGTTTACTTGCCCCTTGCATGGGGATATGCATATACACATTGAGAGCCGCTGTACCCGAGTCAAATTCCTCGTGCGTCTGATACACCTGGCCAATAAAGCTGATTCTGAACAGAAAAATCTCTGGGAGTAACTGGGATTTTATAATGACAAATATTCCTGATAAGTAAAAAAGCAATCCTTGGTCATTGAAAAGTTGACTTACAAGCACAATATTATTAAACCAATGTTCAAAAATATAGATGTGTTCTTATACAAACTGTATTGGTTATTCGAGATTATATATCCCTGTTACAATGGACTGCAGGAGAGACGAGAACAAAGCATCTGGCAGGTGCATATTTCATCCTTTTGAGTCGAGTACCACTGCAGCATCTTCTCCACTGGGTGTCAGCATGCATACAACACCACCAACTGTCCTTTGTGAGATGAAACCTAAACAACTTAACTGATTACACAACATTTATTTCAAAGAGGAAAGGCACACCACATCATCTGATTCATAATTGTTCCGCTCCACAATTATTCTGTTATAATCCCTCAGAGATTTTGCAATGCTCTGCAAGGAAGAAGAGACTTATTAGAAAACATATATTCATAAATTACAATGGGAAGAAAAAGCTCTTTAACTTACTTAATAGCTGCCAGCAGG